TCAAATGTAGACTCACAACTTTAATGCTACTAGCTTTTTTCGCTCATGAGGTAGAATTTTTGCTCACAGAACTATGGAGCTTAGAGAAAACATTGCTCCGAAGGTATTTAAATGCCTTCAGGGCTCACTTCCAGTTGGACAGGCCAACCCAGAAGTGGGCTCTGAAAGTATTTAAATGCCTTCAGAGCTCACCTGGGTCAGGCCATAAGCCAGTGGTGGGCTCCAATGGCATTTAAATGCCTTCAGAGCTCACTTCTAAACCCACCCACGAACTTCCATGAAAACATGGAGGTTCATGGGCAGGTTTGTGGGGCGAACCGGTTTCCTGCTTAGTGCTTCGTGAACTGGCTTGGTTTGTGCCAAACTGGGGTTCGTAAATCGGTTCATACCCATCCTGAATTATGTCTTTTTCAATTCTCTGATCAGAGCTAGTTTAAGCACTGCGTGAAAAATAGAAATAGTTTATTGTAGGAATTTGTGCCCGTTAATGATTGCCCCAAATTTTTGTTATACAAGATATTGTAAGAACTGAAATTTGGTGCTTTGGGGAAAATATATACATTATGTCAAAATTCTGTTAGGTACGTATGCTGACATCTTGCAAAAACAAGATGAAATTAATCAAATACTTTGATATTTGCAGATGCAATTACTGATAAATAAGTTGATACATTTTAACAGGAAAGTGCTAACATCTCCAGTTTAAAGAAACTTTAAACATTATTTTTTTCCTGCACAGAAAAAGCAAGCACAGTTTTATGAAAGTATTGTGAAAGTAATCAGACCCAAACCAGATTACTTTGCTGTTGGATACTATGGACAAGGGTTTCCTACATTTCTGCGCGTAAGTGTTATTTTCATCATTTGATGAGTAACTGATAGATGGCTACATTTGAAAATGTCATGCTTCTCTTTCTGAAAAGGATTCTGACTGTAATAAACTGAGGAGAACCAATGCATTTGAAAATATTTATACAGATGCTTTGAATGGACCTGAGAACTTTAAATCCATTATTGGCTCCGTTATTTTATTTGGAAGACCACTTACATACATAAGACATACAAAGAGATCAGTATATTTTCTTATTACTCTATTACCATATTTTTAAAAAATTCTTAAATCACTTTCTGTAGGTTTGCTTAAGTTTCTGTATACTCTTATCTTTTTACCATAGTTTCTATTAAACTCAAAGAGATTAATAATACCCAAAATTTCATAACTTTAAACTATGCATTTATATTATACCAATCATACAGTTTTTTCCACGTCTTTTGAAATGTTGAGTCTGTTGTGTTTCAAATAATTGAAAAGGATATGGAACAAGTAAATCCGAAGTATTTGCAGATCTGTTACTAATTAAATGTGAGCCATAGTGAAAGTTGTTTACAAAGACTGAGGTCATGGGATCCTGGGAGAGCACTGCATTGGCACAAAATATCGAATAAATACATTTCAGAGCCATTGAATGGCTTTTGCTGGGTTCCACCACCAGTACTACATGGCTTGGTGACATAGAGCTATTCCTGATTTTTCAGTATTAAAGTATTCTCTTTAGTGGAGCAGAGTCTGACAGGTATGCCTCTCAGGCTGCTAAATATAAGGAGAAATCTAATTGCTGCAGCACCTGGCACCTCTAGCAGAGCAAGGCAGTCAGGTTGTGTCTGAAGATCCCTGAAGAACATTTCAACCAAAAAAGAGATGATAAAATTTGTGAAACTTACTGGCTAGCATCACAAAAACAGCATTTAGACCAATCATTTTGTTACATGCACTTCTATAATACAGTTCACAATATCCTCTATGGGCAGAATTATCTGCTAGCAATTTAAAGTTTCTCAATACAACCCTGTGGAGAATAATTAGGAATCACAAGAGAGGTGACAGAGCTGTTCTGAACATTTGAATTAAATGTCTGTGAGTTAATTCATTTCAGATTCTAAATAAATCACATATTCAAGATATGGACACATAGTAAAATACACAATTTCCTCATTTGTGGTCTGTATAATTTGTCTAGACAAAGCAAAGCAACTGCAAAATCCTTAGTAAAGCTGACACTGAAAACTCATCACTGATAACTTTCTATTACTTTGTTGCTTATTTTTTAATTGACATCAGAAATTGTTTACAAGCTAAATATTAAACATGAAACTAGCTTGCATATCAATCTAAATACTGTCCTAGCTGGATTCTTAACATTTATCACTTCTTCTCAGTAACATTATTTTCAAACATATCTTTGGTTGGCAACTTCAGCTTGGGAAATTCCTGGAAATTAAGGTGCTGTAACTAGGGAGGGCACAGTTTGTGGATGGGCACATTTCAATAGGGATGTACTTGCCCCGGCACCCCCAAATGAAGATATGAGCTCATGGGTTCAACTAGTTTATTTATTTAGCTGTATTCAACTTACATAAATGGCTGGTCTACAAAACTGCTTATTTGGTGATGATTGGGTGGGGCTAGGCATCCATATTGTCTGCCTTTTGTCCACCCTAACTTCAAACTTGATTGGCATTCTGCCAGCCTTGCTTATCAATACCTGCACTTCCCTAATACAGAGAAGTGCCCAGTTTCATATCTCTTCCCTGATGTGCCGCAAGGCTACTACCAGGATCAAACGATGCCACTGAGCACTGAGGGCGTTCCTTCACAGTCACAAGGCATGCAATGGCCTGTACCGTAGATGCCCGCCATGATGCAGGTATCTCAGGGTGCTTGCTGATTAACCCAACCTATCCAAAGCAACCCTCCCTATTCCTGCCAACTAGTTGTGGCCTAACCAATTATTAAAACCAGGCCTATTTAATGGGACAAAACCCATCCCACATGAAACAGCATGGAACATGTAAAAAGGAGGCTCTTGGTAAAGCCAATTTTCAGGAATCCACCAAAAATGCTCATCCCTATATAATGACCGGCTAATCTTGTGCTGCCCTCAGGGAGGGTGGGTTGGTCATGTGCAGCAAGAAGACTGAAGGTGAGAGGTAGCAGCAGGCATAATAGCCCAGTGCCCTCATCTGACTGGCTGATCTGATTTTTCCACAGCCAGTGGAGCCTTTTGCTTCATTCGAGGCAAGCATGATTTGTTGTGAGTCTCACTTCTATAGAGTCCACCCTCCAAAGCTGCCATTTCCTCCAGGGGAACTGATCTTTGCAGTCTGGAGATCAGTTGTAAGTCTGGAAGAGTCCCAGACCTGACCTGGAGATTAACAACTCTAGACATATCTGATACACAGCTAGCCAACCACATGGAATTTAAAGAAGGCAAGACGTTAGTGTCAAAACACAATCTTTTTTCTTTCCAAAAAGATTTTGATTTTAATTCTTATTTCTGAAAACACAACACCAAATTCCAAGCAACTCCAGTTTTCATCCCCTACTAAATGTGCTTATTAAATATTTTAAATGCACATAGTACACCATAACAATTTTAGAATGGTAAAGAAACTGCCCACTACAGAAGTCGGGTTGTTTGTAATTCTAGTCCAGTAATTGGAGAACTATAAATGAAAATAAATAAAATAAACTTGATGGCACTACACACACAAGGTCTCAAGCCCTGTTACTTGGTATTATTTTAAATGGAGAAGTGTCTCTTAAAAAAATAACCTTAAGATGGCAGTGCTTGAACCTGAGATTGAAGGCCAAGCATATACTGTATTACTGGGTGTCTTTAAAAAGCCCATCATGTCACAAAGCTAAAAGCAGGCTACTTATAATTTTACAGTTTATATTTAAGCATAAGAAAGATAAATGCGTCTTCTCTACCCACCTCTATCTATCTAACTCTTGCCAGAATCTAGCCTTAGAAACTAGACAGGGGATAAGAGCTTAACTGGCTTCATTGGGGAGCTGCTTTTCTCAAATTTTGTGTCATATGGAATGGCACCCACTTCAGCCCATTTTTCAGCAGCTCCCACACCACAGATGTAACTTATTGATGGGGCCAAATCCACTGATTGAAAGTTACAAATTCTTCAGATTCCTGACAAAAGAATTATGGCAGGCAAATGCTTGCAAAATTGTCAGTGCAGAAATGAGAGGAGATGTGTGCCTGATATTCTTTTCTATTGTGTATTTGTTTTTTGGTTTTGGATCTATGGTTCAAACAAATTTCAATGTATATTTTTTTACAGAACAAAGTTTTTATTTATCGAGGAAAAGAATATGAGCGTCGTGAAGATTTTGAAGCAAGGTTGTTAACCCAGTTTCCAAATGCTGAAAAAATGAAGACAACATCTCCCCCAGGCGAAGAAATTAAAAATTCCCCTGGACAGTGTATCCTTTAACAATGCCCCATAGATATAACTGGTACATTTCTTTGATAACATACAAGCTTTCCCCTTTCTTATGTATTTTGAGAGCCAGTTTGGTAGAGTGGTCAAGAGCAGTGGACTCTAATCTGGAAAACCACATGAAACCCTACTGGGTGTCTTTGGGTCAGTCACATTTCCCTCAGAACTCTTTCAGCTCCATCTACCTTACAGGGTGTTTGTTGTGGGTAGAGGAAGGGAAGGTGATTGTAAGCCACTTGGAGACTCCTTCGGGTACAGAAAAGTGGGATATAAAACCAACTCTTCTTCTTCTGATATATATTCTGTATATATGTAGCATATGTATTTTTCAGTTGATGTTTATTTTATTTACTAGTCAAATTTATGCCCTACCTTTCATCCATCATGTAACAAGGTGGAGTACATAGAGTTCCAGGAGATCTCCCATTCTGGCTTTGACCAGACCCAAACCTGCATCAGCAAAGTTGATAGATCATATGTTTTCAGTCCTCAAACTGGAACTATTTCTCTGATGGTTCATTTTAACTTTATATCTTTACAGTTCTTAATCCTAAAATTCAGATATTCAGTGCTTCACTGTAAAACCAAAACTTGATTTACCATCAAAGTTCCACAAGCCAGTATCAGAACAAATTTTAAGGTATGATTATTTTACTGTTAAAGCCTTCCACAGTTAAATCTGCTTGGTTGCATTACCTGGGCCATTTCCACATGGGGTATCTGCTTTGGGTTCAGTGCAATTTGGAAGCAGGTTTTTTTTCTGCTTTTTTCATTTCTGCACCTCCCACTTTTCTTCAATCTTTCTCAAACCTGGTTTGCTCTGAAATTTTGGGAAAGATTGCAGTAAAGTCTAAATGATTGCTGGCTGAGTAGGAAAATTCAGAGTTCCCCTTCTCCCACATGGCAGCCATTTCCCCTGACCCTGTCCCCTCAGTGGCCATTTCTTCCCCCCACATCTGAGGCCCTTTATATTTTTTAAAAAACTGGCACTAGAATATCATGATATTAGTATTACATTATGCCAGTATGTGTAATACATTCTCTAAATTCCCAGCTTTTACTGATACGCAATTTTTAAAAAATTGCAGAAGTCCTGGTGGTCCAGGGTGTAGGGGGTGTGGTTACTGAGGGACTGGGGCAAGGGAACCTGCCATGTGAAACCCTATTGCCACTGCACCTTTTCAGTAGCTGCCCCAGCAACAGGGAAACCATGCAAGCCTATCCCTCTCTGGAAACCACCCATCGAAATTACTTGAAGAACTACACCCATAATGTAAGTAGGCCCAGAAAAAAAGTAAAAGAAGGCATAAAGGACGTGGGTACTGATGAAACATTGCTTGATTCAAAGTTATATGACTCTTTTGCTTTTCTGTCCCTCATTCTTCGTATCCATTAGCCTACTGCCAGGGGTCGTTTCGTAGAAAAAGAGCTAGGGGAACTCATTAGCATAACTCATTAGCATATACCACACCCCCTGACATCACCGGAAGTGTGTCATAAGGCCACACCCCCCCGCGAAGGCCCTCCCTGGCCCCAGGCAGGCAGGGGTGGGGAGAGGCAGGGAGGAAGCAACTTACCCTCCCTCTTCTCCTGCCTCCTCCTGGCTGAATGAGGGCTGGAAGCGGGGCGGCCCAAAGCACTGGGCGGGGCTTCGTCATGTGCCCCGCCCCTCCGTACCTCACCCGGGGGAACTGCGATCCCCCCCGAAATGACCTCTGCCTACTGCACATCATCTCCTTTTGACTGTTCCAAAACTGGAAGAAGCAGTTTCACACAATTCTTCTTCCTCACTTCAGCCTACCTTGCTGTGCTGTCTTTTGCCCCCAGCCCTCAAAGAAGTTTTTTGGAATGCACAGCGAGTTGCTAGGGGGGAGTCAGAGAAAGACGTTCCACTGATTACTTCTGCAAATAAATTTTCTGTTGAATCTAACCCATATTCTGACTTATTGCACTCTTAACAATCTTTGGCACATTTAGGTATAATCCCTTTTACTGGTATTGCAAATCTAAACTCTTTCCACCTGAAGTGGAACACCTTTATTTGTGTGGGAAAATAAAGATATGGAAATGCCCTACTGGCAGCCAAACACAAATCTTTCTTACTAGATCAAATTAACCCAATGACCATCCTTGATGTATTTATTTATTTAATTGGATATATATCCCGCCCTCCCCACAAGCGGGCTCAGGGCAGATCACAACAATTTGAGTAACAATACAATAATTAATACACTACACACAGAATTAAAGATTTAAAAATCAACAGCATAGACTCTATTTCTCACAATACAAAAACTCGTGGCCATTCAATAAAATTGCTGAGCAGTCGGGTTAGAACAGATAAAAGGAAGTACTTCACCCAAACAGTGATTAACACATAGAATTCACTGCCATAGGAGGTGGTGGTGGCTACAAGCATGGACAGCTTCAAGAGGGAATTAGATAAGCATATGGAGCAAAAGTCCATCAGTGGCTATTAGCCACAAGGTGTAAATAGGAACTCTCAGGCTGGGGCAAGTGATGCTCTGTATTCTTGGTGCTTGGGGGGGGGGGCAACAGTGGGAGGGCTTCTAGTGTCCTGGCCCCACTGCTGGACCTCCTGATGGTACCTGGGATTTTTGGCCACTGTGTGACAGAGTGTTGGACTAGATGGGCCATTGGCCTGGTCCAGCATTGGCTTCTCTTATGTTCTTATTTCTGGTGTCCACCAGCTCCTCCCTCAAGTGCAGGGCATATATGACTAATTAACAGAGCCCATTTAGTGGATGCCAAGATTCATACAAGGGCAGTTCACCCAGGTAGTGGGAGCAGGGGAGGCCACGGTCTTCAGGTGTCCACTGCCTCAACCAAAGGCCTGGCAGAACAGCTCTGTTTTATAGGCCCTGAAGAATTGCACTAAATCTTGCAGGGCCCTGATCAAGTGGGAGAATGTTCCACCAGGCTGGGGCCAGGCCAGAAAATGCCCTGGCCCTTGTTGAGGCTAAATGGACATCTTTTGGGCTGGGTAACACCAGCAGATTTTTCAGTGCTCTGTGGGGCCCATAGGGGGAGAGGCAGTCCTACAGGTATGTTGGTCCCAGGCCACATAGGGTTTTAAAGGTTAATAGCATAACCATGAACTGGATCCAGTACTCAATTGGCATAGCACCGGCTGAATGTGCGCCCACATAGACATGGCAGTCAGGTGGCATGCTGCTGCATTTTGTACTAGCTGCAGTTTCTGGGTCAGGTTCAAGGGCAGCCCCACGTAAAGAAAGCTACAGTAATGCAACCTGGAAATGACCGTTGCATGGATCATTGTAGCTGAGTCCCGAGAGGAGTCCAGCAGTCTGACCAGCTGAAGATGGTAAAAGGCTGGTCCAGCAGCCGTGGTGACCTGGGCCTCCATTGAAAGTGAGACATCCAGGACCCACCCCCAGGCTCTTCAACCTCGACACCCATGACAGTGGTGCCCTGTGAAGGGTTGGGAGCCTGATTTCCAATCCCACCCCCTCACAGTTCAGATACAGGACCTCCTAGTTATTGTAAACGACAGTCCATGAGGCAATCGACAATAAGTGAGTTGTCTTGCTGTGTTGGATGTTGGCTTGTAAAAAAACTTAAATTTATTTGAAATTAGAATTTCATTATAATACATGTTATGCTCCTGAAATGTAACAGTGAATGCTAGAGATCACTAACATAACTGTGTCTGGGCAGATCAAGATAATTTTGTGGATTTATAAACTTTTTTGCAAGGTTTTTTTAAGCCTTTATTATTTGTCTCCAAGCTCTTAAATCAAAGATAGATTAATCTTTTAGTCGATTTGGATCAGTGTATACATAAGAGTAATTTTAAATTACTCTGCAGCTGTCGTCACAGGGAGAGCTGTTCTTGAGATATGGCTGGTGATTTAAGAGTCATTGTAGTGGCTTGACTTGGTCAGATATATTTATGTTAATTGTTTGTACATATTGTGATGCTTATGCATATTATAAAAAGAAAATATGTATTCAGCTGTATATTCCCTTTCCCCCCTCTAGTTTCTACAGGGTGAATGAGGTTCAGCGATTTGAGTATTCACGACCAATTCGAAAAGGAGAGAAAAACCCTGACAATGAATTTGCGGTAATTTTTATATTTGTGCTGTATAGAACAATGATTATCATAAATGCTCTTTACTGAGTTTCAGTAATAGCTATCCTGGCTTTTATTAGTAAATATGAAATAATTGTATACAGGGTATCATGAGTACCAAAAAGTGGTTCATTCAACTGAGGCATGTGTTGTTTCTAAGTTGGTAAATGCTTACATTGCCACCCTAAGGAGTGTTACACCCAGGGGTCGTTTCGTAGAAAAAGAGCTAGGGGGACTCATTAGCATAACTCATTAGCATATGCCACACCCCCTGACATCACCGGAAGTGTGTCCTCCCCACAGCCGGCGGCGACCTCCAGCGGGCACCAGCAGGGAGCTCCAGGCCCCGCCCTTCCGCACCTCACCCGGGGGGATGGCGTCCCCCCGCATCCCCCCCCAAATGACCCCTGGTTACACCATGAACTGTGCTTAGGCTGAAATATTAAGGACAATTTCCTGGGAGTAAGCCCCACTGAATAACATGATTTCTGTGTCGACCTGCTCAGGATTGCTCTTTTAGTATGAGAAAAATGGAGCTGCAAGTTTTGAAGATGATGTTTCAGGTGAACTAAAGCTGAAGTACATTAACGTAAGGATTCTAGCCGCAGTGGTTTAACTCTTGTCTTTGAGGGGGTTGATCTCATGGTCAGTAAAATTTAAGCTTTATGATTTTACTTACATATATCACTGTAAAGTAATATGACCTTTAAAATGAGCTTTCCTTTTCATTTATGAACTCCATAAAGCCCTGGGCTTTCAAAAGTTGCTTTGCTAAGACCAGATTTTATTAAAAGCTTTTTCCTACAGCCTATATGTGCAGATCTTAAACCATTTAATAGCAGATATAGGATAGTGTGCTTTCTTAATCATCAAATTCTTTGTTTTCAGCATTAGCAGGATAGCAGAAATGGTTGACAAGGAACAAATAAATCTAAATCCTACGAGGAAGGGTCCTTGAAGGGATTGCCAAGGAAATCTGCAACATAGTTTTCCTACTACGATGTATATAGAAATTGTGAAATTTTAGTCCAATAATAAGCTTCTATGTTAGAACATTAAGGTTTAAGTCTGATATATTATAGGTCTTTGATGTAGATGGCAGAATCACAGCAGTACTGTGATAGGTCATGTTAAATAAGACTACACGGTTATTTCCCCAAAGAAATTAATAGTATTTGCTCAGTCTTACCTTTTATACTCACTGCCTGATCCACTCACATTGACAGAACTAGCACAATTGAAAATAATGTCTTAATATTGCTTGTTTGCCGCTAAACTGATCAAATCTATGTTATGGAGAGACCAGCAAAGGGACTTTATTTATACTCTCTTTTACCTGTCTTCCAAACTGTAACCCAGTGCTGCTTGAAATTCATGAGGCTTGCAGAAACAATTCATAATCTAGTCTATACCCGAGTAGCACATGTGCAAGTCCTTGACCATAAATTAAGGAGCTCACTGCAAAGTATTACACACAGTGATATGTCAGGCACATAGGGCAATCTTTTAGGTTTGTGATTTTTTAAAAAAATCTAGTATATGGCTAAATTTTTTGTGATAATAGAAATATAAATTATCAGTCTGCTAATATTCTACTTTAAACCTTTTATCTTAAATTTGCAGAATATGTGGATTGAGAGAACCATTTATGTGACGGGATATAAATTACCTGGGATTTTAAGATGGTTTGAAGTCAAATCAGTTTTTATGGTAAGATCCATTCAGATGGTATTTACCAAGCTATCTTAATCACATGGCTGCAATTAAAAAAAAAAAAAAACTCTAATAGTTTCTTGATGCCTATATTTGATGTTGTTGACTGTCCAACTTAAATTCATTTCTTTTCCTGCAGGAAACTTTTTGTAAATTCTAGGTTTGCCTGTTCACTATATTGTGGTTAATCACCAGATTTAATGGTTAATTTCTTATTGACTTTCTCTAGCAGTTCTTGCTTCATCGCAGCAGTTCAGCTAAATGATCTTCCAGTATTTTTTGGTTTTATAATCTTTTATTGTATGGTGTGTGGCTTACACAAGCCTTGTCTTCAGGCTTGCCAACATTTAGGAGGTAGCTGGAGATCTGGGACTACAAGTGATCTCCAGGTGACAGAAATCAGCTCACCTGGAGAAAACAGCCACTTTGGAAGGTGGACTTTGTGTGGCATTATAGCCCATTGAAGTTCCTCCTCTCCCCAAACCCCGCCCCTAAAATCTCTAGGTATTTCCCAACCCAGAGCTGGCAACCCTACTCATTTCCTAAGGATTCATGTTGTATTTCATTGAGAAATTCTGTGTATTAAAACAAACAAACTAGTGTTTCATGGGCAGGACTTTTTTGAAAAGTTACTACTGAGCTGTTAGATGTCACAGCAAAAAAGCCACTAAATCACCATTTTAATTTGAGATTAATTCAATTTTTCCAGAAGTTCTACTCAGTTGGCATCCTTTATAAGACAGCAGGAACTTTGATATATAGAGATTTTATTCAGAATGCATTTGCATAACACTTAAATGTGTTAATGGTTTTAAGGACTTTTGTAAAAACTGCAGTTTTATATACTTGGAATATCCTTGGATTTTTCCACCCTCTTTTATCATTTTTATGGGAAAACTTACAAATGAAAATTAATTATTCTGAGAATATATCAATTGTTCTGTTTCAAAGTTACATTAATGAGATTTTTAAAAATAAGATGGATTTTTAAGAATAATGGAATGTATAATTGCATTCAGATTGATAATAAATTGAATGAACAAAGTCTTTGACTGTATTGTATAAAATATAACAAAATGCTGACAGATTTTGACCAATGAAACATGTGTAATGAATTTTCCCTTTTCAGTATCAACATAATAATGATGCCACACTTCATTATATTGTCTCCAGTCTTATCCTATCTGATTAAAAGCTTCTTAATTTTATGAATTAAGAATGCAGGCTCCTGTAGGCAGGTACTTTTCTGCATGGAACTGTTTTGCTCCACACATGACATCAAATAATGCAGAAATGCTCCAAACAGTGTTTCTACATAAGCCTTTTGTAAGCAAGGGTTAAGGAGCATACTATCACCACCCAATTGAATAATGCAAGAAGAGAGAAAGGGTAACTTTTGACCTCCTGTGCACGATATATTTGCTACAAAAGCTGGATTAGCTGTTCCTGAATAATCTTATCAGATGAAAGCTAGCAGCAAAATTGACTGTTCCTAGATGTATGTAATTCTAAGTTTTAATTCCTGATACAAATGCTCTCAAAAAATCAGATGAAGCAAGTCATTTTAAAACATGTATTGCAAGGCATAGAAATGGAACTGGAGGGGTGAAAGAGCAATAATCTATGAATTGTTGTATGTAGGTTATGACAAACATTTTATTTTTAAATTTTAAATCCTACTAGTTCCAGTCTGAAAGTAGCCACCTATCTGCATTGTGGCTAGATGAAAGAGGATAAAGCATTAGTGTACATTTTTTGCATGACTGTATATGTCAGCCTTGGAATAAAGAGTATTACAGCAGAAATGTATGATTTGCTATGATCAGTGTGAATAAACAAAACAGATACAGCTGGCTCATATTATAGATAAACTTGACAATGGCCCTCATTATCCTGAAACTCTGGTTTGCAGAAATGCGTCATTTATGTCACTCAGAATTACACTGTGAAGCTTCAGTTCTATTTATAATGTCTGTGTTATAAATTAAGTAAGAAATGTAATTATTATTTATTTATTCACATCATTTCCATTCCACCTTTCTACCCGATCAGGGCCTCCAAGGCACCTAACAATTAAAATAGCACTATAAAATACATCATAAAACCAAGCTAAAATACATATATAAAACAGAGAACTCACTGGCAGAAGGATCAAATGTATATCCTTGGGGAGTTCCATAAGTTTGGCACAATGACCAAGAAGGACCTATCTTGGGTTACCACCCATCTAGCCTCCCAAAGTGGGGGCACGTGAAGCAGAGGCCCCAAGGGTGTGGATTTTAATCACAGCAGCTCTAACAATGCCAAATGTAGTTGTCTAATTTTTATGGTACTGTGGGTAAACAAAGCCTTTCTTTTAGAAGGAAAACAATTGGTTTTGCTTTGTTGTTTTGCATCATCCTGGTCTGTTTTTGCAAGTGTCCATTACTGCTTTTGGTAGGGGGAACAAGAAGTGCTGACAGATTAAGTCTGCTTTATGGGTAAGAGAAGAGTCTCAGAGAGTTCTGGAAAACCAGAAGAGCTAATGAAAGGATCTCCTAGGCAAAAATAAGGTCACAAGAGAGGGAACCATTGATAAAGAATAATTGAACTATAACCTCCAGTTATTTTTTAGACTGCTGGGATCAGCAGGATCCAATGACCTGAGACCATAAATGGAGTTTAACAGAAGATCTGAGTTATGAGAACAGGGCATTTAGTAAGCAGTCTTCCAAACCAAGGCAAAAATACAAGTGTAACAATGATGATCACCAGTCCAAAGGTCTAACAAATCTATGTACTTTAGAAGGCAGTGATTCCTTCCTTCTTATCAGTCTACAGTACTAACCATACTGATTGATGGATACAACTGGGTTTTAGAACTCCCTGCCAGATATACTCTGTGACCTTGATAGTTGTTCTTTTAATGACCTCTGTAGTTCTCGGGATCAGTGAACTAATCTCACTTCAGAAAACCCCCTACACATTCTACATGTCCTAGTCTGCATCAGTTTGCCTGCATAGGTCTTCCTAGGAGCCAGATGCATAAGAAGCAAGAGAGTTAATTAGAGTAATGACATGAAATAATGTTAATCCAATTGGACAATTTAATGAGACCGAGAAGATGGAGGAGGAAGAGAACCAAGAATTAGATGGTACTTAGAAGGAGACATTGCCAAATTATCACAAGATTCTGTGTGATTGAAACTAACAGGGAAAAATGGGAGGAGGAACTTTGGGTGATATCTCTACTGTGTGTGGGCTGAGGTTTCTATCACTCCAAGAGGAGAAGAGTGATCACTGCTTAATTGAGCATGTTAACATAAATGTATGCTAATCTAAAATTCCCTGTTGCCTAGCATTGAGTCTCACATGACAAATTACTTCCAAATGACAAAAAATTGTGATCAGGCAAGCTTAAAACTGTTTATGTGATAAGCTTAGTGTTAGCACATGAGAGGGTAACTGCATCCACAGATTCCCACAATACGGTCTTGTACATGTTAGGATTCATGTGAATTGAGAGGACAATGTACCAAAATATCTTCCGTCGTACACATTCACCTGAAGGGATGAAAAAGATGCAGATGTTGGCAGCGTCAATAGATAATTTTGACATATTGTGCAGTTAATATGGCAGTCTCCAAATGATAGAGAAGGTGTGAGGATTTCACATGATGACTACAGAATATACATTTTGTGGAAAACATGCAAGTGGCCAGACAATGTATGAAATACATTGTAAGCCATTCCAAGACTCCTTCTGGTAATGAAGAGTGGAATATAAAACCAACTCCTCGTCCTCAGTTCCTTCTAAGGCAACTCTGAGTTTGGGCCCTACTATCTCAGGTCTACTACCCTTGGTTCTGACTACTGAACCCTGTTCAGGCCCCCATTGGTCCATTCAGTTTCTACGGGCTTGAGTATCAAGACAACTCCAGTCCCTCCAAAAAGAGCCACTTCAGTCACTCCAGAGGCAGAATCTCGGCGCCCACGTTGGCCTTCTCCAGGACTGTTGACTAAGGTCTGATCACATTCGGAACCTCCTGCAAAAAAGAAGAAGAGGAGGAGGAGGAGATTGGAATTATACCCCGCCTGACTGACAATCTCCTTTCCCTTCCCCCCCCATGAGGTAGATGGGGCTTAGAGAGCTCTTTCAAGAACTGCTTGTGAGAAAACAGCTCTGAAATATCTTGTAACTGACCCAAGGTCACACCAGCAGCTGCATGTGGAGGAGTGGGAAATCAAAGCCGGTTTTCCCAGATTAGAGTCCACGCTCCTAACCACTACACCAAACTGGAAGTAAGAATAAGAAGCATAAGGAAAAAATGTGAGTCTGCGCCCAAATCAGGACACGTCAAGTCTTTTAAGTGTCCAGAGACTGATCACAATGTCATCCTGGTTCCCCTGTGCTTCTTGTCACTGCATCTAGCCTCCTTTGCTGGTTCCTTTTCGGATGCAGAAGACGACCAACCTGGCATCCCTACTGGACAACTGAAACCATCGGAATCAGGCTCTCCCTTATCTTGGCTACCTTCCCCCCCCCCCCACGGTGTATGTTGCCACCATATTTAAATAGATGGGCTGGACATCACCCTCAAACTTTAGAGGGGCATGACCTGAATGCACAAGAATACATGGATGCCCACTCCACACTGGTTCCATTCCAGTCTCCATAGCATAAGTCTGAAGAAGAGGTCTCCACAGCATCTTGCTACAGTGCCTTAGACCCGTCACCCAATGATACTGTGGGTGACCCAACCCCAGTATGTCCTAGCGAAGACCTCCGTCTATACGAAGAACAAATGCTAATAGCAAAAGCCTCCATTCAGGCCACACCTTGTAAGATTGAAAATTTATACAGAGGAAAGCAGGACTCCTGTGAGTTTCTGTCCACACACCCACCACCATCTTCATTAGTTACAGAAGACATGCAGACATACCTGCGGCCCAGGCAGAATTCATCCTGAGCCAACAGGGAAAGCCGCCATCTGGATGCTTTGGGAAAGTTTTATGCT